TAGTGGGTTTTTTATTAGAAAAAAAGGTCATTGGCTATTGAAACTAATAGAAAACAGTTGGCCTACACGGAACATACTGTATGTTTTAGTTACCCTGCAGTCTACTGAATCGGAAACCTTTCTTTCTTTTCCTGCCTAAATTAGTTTTTCTTCATTACACTTAAATATCTACACTTTTTCATCGACATGGTTGTTACAGTGACATTATTAGACTATTCGTTCTTATATGTGGGGTATTAAATAAAAATGCTTTGGAGTTCGTATAGATTTTGAGTCCTAACTTGTGTTTTTATTTTTTTGACAAATATATATTTTAATTGTTTTAATCTAAATAACCTTTACTCTGTGTTTTTCTGCTGCATGCTGGATGTTTATCAGTGTGCATTGCCAATGCAATGCACACTATTGTGATTCGTTTCCCATCCAAGTCATCTCAACTTTGCCATTCTTCTCCTCCTGCATACTTTGTCCTAGAGCTGCCTTTGTAGTTTATATCTGTAAAGCTCCTGTGCCAAAAGATGGCTATGCCTTTTGGTGCCTGTAAAACTTATAGTTTATGAAATATTAATGTTTAATGAATTATAATGGCAGTCAATGGAGCCTTGTATTGGTCCAATACTGCCCCATGCTGTACTCAACTTGGTACTGCATCGTAGTTTAATATTTCAACTCAGTAGTTCAGTGTTTACAGTACTAATATGATTGTATTTTGGTGTTTTACTATAATATTGTCTTAATACTGCTTGATTGTTGTAATATTATGAATTTTTGTGTCAATAATTGTATTGGCAATGTGGCGTCTTTCTGCACACATACAAATCAACCCCTGCCATCATCTTCTGCCACAGCTCCACTGGTCTAATGCTCTATGTCATGGACTTTCATGTGGGAGATAAGGGTTAAAAACCCAGCTAATGCAACTTTAACAAAAACTCTCTTCAAATTTCATATTGTCACACAATTACCTTAATTACAAACACCTGCTGACGTGACAGGCTCAAGCTGGCATAGAAAACACATTTGAACTTAGTCGAAGTTCATTCTGCAAGTATGCTGCAGGCAAAGCCATGCTACAAGGCAATGCACACTTGTTTTTACATCTTAAAAACCCATGTCTAGTTGAGTTTACAGTCTATGATCGGTAAACAGTACAGAGAGCTGTGTGTTGTTACGTAATCATGAATCACCGTGGCTTTGCGCGTGCCACTCGAACGGGCCAGCGGGCGCGTGTGATGGAGAGCGCATGCGCAGTCGCATCTTAGCTCGGCAGCATCAGGACCACAAAGAGACCCAGCAGCGAAGAAGATGGTGCTTGTAAACACTGCGAAGGGAGTGACGGCGTCGCTTTGTCGGACCTCCTCGGCCGTTCGCATCGCTTAATGCGCTGCTTGAAGTTAAACAAAGACAAGTGAAGGTAATATTTAGCCACAAAAAAAGCGCGCGACGTCCGACAGAAATTAGCGAAACGTATCGACTTAGCCCAATGACGACGGCTGTGAAGCTCCGCTGCTCTGCGACTGGCTTCAGACGGATTCCTCCAGTGTCACTTCTACTTGACGGGCTTTCTTGTATAATGGTCGCCGCTTTCTAGTGGGATGCACATCAGTGTTTGGCCGTACTCACTCTCCGTCGTAATGGCAGCTCTGTACCAGGGCACGGACGCCTCCTCTCCGGACAAATTTCTGGCCCTAAAAGACGTGAGAGAAGTGAAAGAGGAAACAACGCTGGACGAGAAGCTCTTCCTGCTGGCATGCGAGAAAGGTTTGTCCCGATTTTTCACCCAAATAACACTAATGCTCTTTTTTTCTCTATCCAGTATTAGGTTAATGCAGTATTTTGACCCTAACTACAGACGCTGTACAGGCAGATGTGGATTTTGTGATGTCTTAGCCAGTAACTGCCACTTGACCATATAAAGTCTCCATAAACACGTCTGCAGCTGAAACTGTCCTTTGAGGGAGATGTTATTGTTACACAAGATTAAGGGGGCAGCTGGAGCCTAGCCTGCTCTGTTAAAACCACCACTGTCTGTGCATGTGTCTTCCCAATATGATTGTGCAAGAATCCGCTTACCATTCCTGATCTGCTGTGCTTTCTCAGGTGATTACTACATGGTGAAGAAACTTCTGGAGGAAAACCGTCACGGCGAGCTCAACGTCAACTGCGTGGACGTGCTGGGGCGAGATGCTGTGACCATCGCCATCGAAAATGAGAATCTAGACATTCTGCAGCTTCTGCTTGAGCATGGTTGCCAGGTAGCCAACACAGAGACATTTCGTTTACACTCTTGACTATAAACCGTGATGTTTTCTTTAATTATATGTACGTGTGAAGGCAACAGATGCCTTGTTGGTGGCCATAGACTCAGAAGTAGTGGGAGCTGTGGACATCCTCCTCAACCACAGGCCGAGGCGATCCTCAAAGCCTTCCATTGCTGTAAGTCTGTTTTTATCACCGTTGTTAGCTCCTCTTTAAAATAACTGAATGATGTTGTTTTCCTTTTCTTATAATTTTTGCACAGTCTTTCAGAGGTTTATCCCATCTTTCTCAGAAATTGATGCAGCGCATTCAGAACCCTGAATATTCCACCACCATGGACGTCGCTCCGGTCATCCTGGCGGCACACAGGAACAATTACGAGATCCTGACCATGCTGCTGAAGCAGGACATATCTCTTCCCCGGCCTCACGCTGTCGGCTGCGAGTGCATGCTGTGCAATGCTAAAAACAAGAAGGACAGCTTAAGACACTCCAGGTACAGACCAAATCAGTGACTCAGAACCAAAAATATATATATTTTATCCTTTCTTTTTTTCTTTTTTTTTTCTAAACTCTATTCTTGAAAATATGAGCTGCAAATCTGTTTTCTGTTAAGTGAAACATGCAGGAAACATTTCAGCTCTGTGTATTCGTGATAGCCTGTAAATGTCTTCCTTTTACAACCGCAAAGAAATCAATTATATAACTTCTTTTTTTTTAAAAGCTTTCAGCTGTACATTCACCAAAAGCTCTGCCCCACATAGATCTAATGCATTTTATTATTGTCCAGCTCTACTTGTCTAGCTTTAAAAAGACAATATTAGTATCTTTTCCCAAATGCACTTGTTTTATACCTAAATCAAAAATTTTTTTTCATTTTTAATCCAAGGAAAACTGGACAAAGCAGATATGTTTTCACAGTTAAGCAGTGAGTGCTGTTTTTCTGATTCTGCCTTGGATTTGCAGATGAGATTTTGCTGATCGTGTTCACTGGGCAGTTTTATTCTCCCTCCCACACAGAGCTCTAAATGAATCAGTCTCCAGAGTCTCTGCCAAACAGCACAGAGTATAGGGCAGGTACAAATGAAGCAACTAGAAAAAGGATTGTTTCTCGATTTGATCTTTTGTGTCTTGTTCCATTTGTTAGTAAATATCAGTTTTGTTCATCTGTTATCTGCCGCTTGTTCCAGAGTTGGGTCACAGAGGCAGCAGCTTAAGCACTGAGGCCCAGGCATCATTTTTCAAAGCCACCGCTTCCAGATTCCAAGGTATTCCCAGGCCGAGACCTTGGGTTTTCACCAGTGTCTTCTCCCAATTGGACCTACCTGGAACACCTCCTTAAGGAGGTGTCCAGAGGACATCCTTACCAGATGCCCGAACAACCTCAACTTGTTTGTCTCCATGTGGAGGAGCAGCGGCTCCACTCAGAGGATGTGTCCAAATCCATTGGCTTCTTCCTTCCAAGGAC